ACTGGTGCTACTCTGCCTTGACTCATGTCCTCCTCCCATTCGTCATCAAGACCAAGGGGAAATCCTGGCAAAATTCTCCTTTTCTCCAGTGACTTCTATACATTAGCCAATAAGAAGCCTTGCTTAACATTCATTCTTTTCACAAAAAGTCTTCAGAGAATTTCAGGAAAAAAAAAGGTAGCATTGACAAAGTGGTCCAGAAAGTGTCCCAACTTGTTTCAAAAGAGCTCAACAAATCTCCAGCAACATGTCAACAGTAGAACCTGATACAACTTTAAGTAGCATTCAAAATCTTCATCAATAATGGATTAGTCCTATTCAGTTTAAAGGGAATTGTCTAAATGCAGAGGAAAATTGGGAAGTGTTTCATATTCGGAAAGAGAATTTGTTATTCTTGCCAGGCAATTCAATGCAAGGGCATCATTCTGTCACACATTGATAAGCTGAAAGAAAGTTGGTCAACAACTTTTTTGATGGTATCCTCTAAGTCTTATACTTATGCTCAAATCTCACCAGGGCAGCTGAAGAAATTTAAATTTAATTGGTTCATAAATCTGGAATTGAAAAATCAATCTCAGCAGCACTGAGCACAAGACCATCAGATTGTTGTAAAAACCTATCACTAATACCTTTCAGGGCAGGATATCTGCCATATTTACTCAGATTGGCTTAGATGTGACTTCAGATCTGTAGTAATGTGTTTTGACTGAAATAGCCTAGCTGCTGGAGTATATTGAACCTCTATACAAAGGTTGGAAAAGAATAAAGCTGAATAGACCACCTGATATTGACCTAGCTACCAGATGTGACAATAGCACACCTGCCCAGTTGACACTCCAAAGTCCTCCTCAATAGCATCATGGGACTTGTGGCAAGTTTTGGAGAACTGTCCCACTGATGAGGCAAATAACTGCCCAATATAGTCTTGAACATCAATTCATACATTACCACAAAAAAATCTTCTCAATCACCATCCCTGTGTATATCCCCATTCCCCTGGCAAGTCAGGCACATCATATGTAGTGGCACAGTGGTATATAGTCTGAAGGGAACTGCATGGATGTATTCAACATTGACTCCAGATGCCACGAAGTTTCGTAGCTTTTATTCAAATACAGGTATAGAAACTTCCTGCCTCCCTTAACTAATTAATCAGTATTCCTCCATGTTAGACACCACTTTGGAAGAATTGCTGAGTGTAGTTATATTAAAGATACCCAATTAAAACATTGTGAGCTGAGTACCCTCGCAGATATCTGATCTTATCTATTGATGATGACTGCTGAGTGCCAGCCTCTGTTTAAATATTTATTTTCATGAGATATGAGTATCTTTTATTGCCCATCCCAATTTTGTCTTGAGAAGGTGTTGGTGAGTCACCTTCTTGCGTGAGTAAACTAGGTGAAAATTGATGTGGAACTTGAAAGTTACTTCTCAGCAAAATGTTATACAAAGCTGCATTTTCTTTAAAAGAAAAGGACAATGCTAGCCTTCAAGTATAACATAGTAAACTCCCTTCAAACAGTGTGAGGTTTCTGATAGGAATTACACATACTTAAAACAATACAATATCTCAGGGATTCTCACAATGACACTAGCACTATATGCAAAATTACATGGTCCAAAATCTTATTATCTTACTAGACACAGTGCCTTGAGTAAACATATTGACCAACATAGGTGCTACCTAAATCATAGCTTTCAATTATAAATTCAAAATAACATTTCTCAAAAATTGAATGGGCAGCTTAATTACAATAGACGGTTCTTCTCACCTAATATGGGATAGTGATGAAGGGTGATATGTTATTGATTGAATAATCGTGTTCCATACCATATTTTAATTGCACCAATTTCGAAACCCATTATAAATATCTCAATATAAGTTGAATAATTTGGAATTTATTTGAGGAGATTTGTTAGATTTGATTACTCCACTTTAGATTCATTCTGAACTAATGATTCTCACACTCTCAGGGATCAGGGCAATCTTTCTTTGATGCTTGATGGATGTGCTTACTCTCTTTTAAAATCTTGTATATGTTGTGAGTAAATTTTCAATTTTGGGTTATTTTGCAGAAATAAGAACTACTTTTCTTACCTTTTCAGGATTTATTTAGCATTGTGCTTTATACTTTTTGTATAACTGCCAGATTACATTGTTTCTTATGTGTATACTTAAATATTAAATTGTTTCATCTAACCTTCTGTATTGAACACTGAGTGAACCCAATGGCTATTCTCTTCATGGTAGCAGAGCATTTACAGAGTTTCAATCAGACCATTGTAATATCCAGGAGAAGTACAGTCTAGCTACAAAAAAATGCATGTTGACTAATAGCAAGAGAGGAACACTCTTGACTAGTTTTCTTCTGTAGCATGGGGGTTTAGTGGATTCTGTGGGTCCAAGCTATGTGTCCTGGAGTCTGTCTGCCTCTAGCTAAAGTTGAGGGGAATTAGTTCATGTGTACACTTGATTTCACTAACTCCAGGCTTATGATAGCAAAACACCACTTCTGAACTGCTACCGTGAATCTGGTTTAGGCACATCCATAGTGCTGTGTGGTTGGGAGTTGTTGGATTTTGAATCAGTGACAGTGATAGAACAGCTGCATAGCTCCAAGTCAGGATGATGTTTGACTCGGAGGGGAATCTGCAGTTGCAGGTGTCTCCAGTCACCTGCTTCCCTTGTCCTTCTAGGTGGCAGGGTCATGGGTTTTGCAGGTCAAAGGAGCCTTGCTGAGATGCTATAGTGCATGTTGTCTATAGTACATATTGCTGCAGCTGCTGGTGGTGGACCAAATGATTGTTGAAACTGTGGCTCGGCTGATTATCAAGCAGACAGCTTTCTCTTTAATGGTCTTGAGCTTCTTGAGTGTCATGAGTGTCTTGAGTGTCAAGCAATTGGAAGTATTCTATCATTGTCATGACTTATATCTCATAGACAGTTGTCAGGCTTTGGAGGTGAGTTACTAGCCATGCAATTCCTAGTCCTTGACTTGCTCTTGTACGCTGAGGAATACTGATCCTCTGATTGAGGGACAGGACTTCTTTAAAAGGTAAAGCGGCCATATTCTTACCAGACATAGCGCTGTTCTGTCATTAGAGAGAGATGAATGGTAGTGGTTTAACTTGAGGGTCACTACACCACAGGTAAGGGGGGATAGCCTTCATCGTAATCTCAGCTGGTGCAGCAATTGAACCCACACTGTTGGCATCACTCTGCATTGCAAACCAGCCATCCAGTCAACTAAGCTAACCAATCCCCGTAACCTTCTATATACACATTTCAAAGCATTGATATTAATGGTGTTGTTTGTTGTGAATTGAAGGTTTAGGATAGCTTGATAGCATTCGATAACACAAAGTGCAATTGCAAAGAGACACATTACAATTATTTCCTTTTCTGGAAGTTGCTACATACATTTCTATATGACCAAATATTTGAAGAGGTCTCAGCCTCTCCAAGCCAGGCATTAAAGAAACACTTTTCACATTATGTGAATGTGTAACGACACACCTCTGTCTGTAGCAGATGGATCTTAAACTCAGATTTTTGGGTGCTAGAGGCACTGACATGCCAACTGTGCAACAAGAGTTCCCTTTCAGCTGACATGGATTCTGCCAAAGCAAGTCATAATGTAATTCCTACGAATATTTAGATGATAGGGATATGTTCTTATTCAATTTCTTGCAAAGCAGCTATCTATTCACAGCAATTTTATACATTCTTTTTATTTTGTTCAGAGACTTTGCATTTTCTTTTCAATCCTCCATCTGAAAGTTGATAAACACAATAGCGAAGTTCGTAAGATATTCGCTCGCAGAAGGCAGAGAGTGGGGATAATGGGGTCTTATTTAGGATGGCAGCAAGTGACTATTGGAGTTCCACAGGGATCAGTGTTGGGACCACAATTATTTATTTTATAAATTAGCAATCTGGACAAAGGAACTGAGGGCATTGTTGCTAAGTTTGCAGATGTCACAAAGATAGGTGGAGGGACAGGTATGTTGAGGAAGTGCGAAGGCTACAAAGGCTAGGAGAGTGGGCAAAGAAGTGGCGGATGGAATGCAATGTGGCAAAGTGTGAGGTTATGCACTTTGATAGAAAGAATAGAGGTGTAGACTGTTTTCTAAATGGGGAAAGGCTTTGGAAATCTGAAGCACAAAGGGACTTGGGAATCCTAGTTCCAAATTCTTGTAAGGCTAAAATGCAAGATCAGTGGCAATTAGGAAGGCAAATGCAATGTTTGCATTAATTTCAAGAGGGCTACCATACAAGAGCAGAGATGTATTGCTGAGACTGTATAAGGCTCTGGTCAAACCCCATTTGCAATATTATGAGCAGAGTGCTGGTGTTGGAAGTGGTCCAGAGGAGGGTGACAAGAATGATCCTGGGGATGACGGGCTTTTCGTATGAGGAGCGGTTGAGGGAGATCTCATTGAAACTTACAGAATACTGATAGACATGGCTACAGTGGAGGTGGACAAGATGTTTCCACCAATAGTAGAGACCAGTACCCTAGGGCACAGCCTTAGAGTGAAGGGATGGCCATTTAGAACTGAGATGAGGAGGAAATTCTTCAGCCAGACGGTGGTTAATCTGTGGAACTCAGCCACAGAAGCCGCATAACTGAGTATATTTAAAATGGAGATAGATGAGTTCATGATTAGAGGATCAAGGGTTATGGGAAGGCAGGAGAAGGGTGTTAAGAAACATATCAGGCATCGTCGATTGGCAGAGTAGACTCGATGGCCAAATGGCCTAATTCTGCTTTTATAGGTTAAGGTCTTACAGTCTTATAATGGGTGAGAGTGCCCATAACAGTTAGAAAGAACTCCACACTGCCTGATTGCTGCCTGGAGTTGTTTCTATTACTGACCCCAGGGACTGTCACTCAGCACTGCAGTCCAAACATTCACTCCTTGTCTCTCCTGCTTCAGAATACCATCTGCAAAATTAACCAATTGACATTGGGTTTTTAGAATGCAAGTCATCGATGGAAATAACAAGCAGTAGTTTATTTGTAGTTGGCAGGCTTTATTCTGTCCATTATCAAATTAGCTTGTCCTTACAGACTCCTCTGGCTCCCTAGACAAATCGTCTAGGTACTTGGCGACAATATCCCAACGTGTTGCGCTATAGTCAATGCAGCAAGGCGTAGCCGCTCTTTGGAAGATTTCATTCCAAGCCGTTTGAGAAGTGGGAGGGACGCAGTGAATGATTTAGTCAGCAAAGGAGTAGGAGAAGCGGCGTGTTAAAGTTTCACTCGGCGGCTGAGGAATAGAAAAGGGGAAAATGACTGAAGCTAATAAATGCATCAAGTATTCCATGTTCATCTTCAACGTTTTATTTTGGGTGAGTTTATTTTTAAAATTTTATCTTGACAAATCCCGCATTGCAGAAAGTAATCGCGGCTGTGAACCAAACTAGTCAGGACTTGTAACGTGCATGCGAAACTAGCGTTTGCATTTCCCGATTTAGTTATGTTTTATTTCATCCCCATCCTAATACCGAGTTGATGTAAGACACGATACTGAGCCCCTTGGTTAGGAGTTACCAATTGAGACGCTGACATTTAATTGCTTGCTTCTCCACAATAATGGCTCGTTTTTTAAATTTTGTGAGTCGTAATATTTTTCAAAACATAAAATGGTGGGGAAGTCTCGTTCTGTGATCGCACCCAGAGATTTTCTTCCCAACGTCACAAGACTTCAACTCCTGATCTTCCTCCTCCAAACAGCCTTTCTTCCAATTCCTGGTATTGTTATAGCGCCCATCAATAACAACATTATAAACTGAAACCCACGTGTCAGTTTGCAAGTTGTTGAGCTTTAAGTCCTGGAGGATTGGCAACCTTGCTTGTTGGGTTTAGTACTTGACGTGCCATGTTCTGAGAAATTGATATGTGGAAATTGTCGGCTTCTTTATAATTCCTTCCTTGCCATACACAAAAACCTCGTGTAACTTGCTTCATTGCTGCATGAAAGTTTAAAATCACCTGGTTTCCTAATATGCATTTATTGCGGGTCCATAGTTGCCTTGAGAAGGTGGTGATGAGCTGCCTTCTTGAACCACAGCAGTCTGTGTGCTGCAGGTAGTCCCATATTGCCCTTAGGAAGAGAATTCCAGGGTTTTGACCCAGCCACAATGAAGTGTGGGTGATATATTTCCAAGTCAGGGTAGTGAGTGGCTTAGAGGGGACAATGCAAGTGGTGGTGTTCTATGTCTTTGCAGACCTCGTCTTTCTAGATGGAAGTAGTTGTGGGTTGGAAGGTGCTGCCTAAGGATCTTTGGTGAATTTCTGCAGTGCGTCTTGTAGATACTACTACTGAGCAACTGTGATGGAGGAAGTGGATGTGGTGCCAATCAAGCTGGCTGCTTTATCCTCAATGGTGTCAAGCTGCTTGTGTTGTTGGAGCTGCACCCAGCCAGGCAAGTGGGGAGTATTCCATCATGCTCCTGACTTGTGCCTTGTAGATGGGGAACAGGTTTTGGGAACTTAAGTGGTGAGTTATTCACCACAGACTGCCTCACCTCTGACTTGCTTTTGTAACCACTATTTATGTGGTGACTTCTAGTTGAGTTTATGGTCAATGTAATGCTCAGGATGTTGATAAAGGAGGCGGGGGAGGGGGGCGGCGGCGTCAGTGATGGTAATACCATTGAATGTCAAGGGGCGTGGTTAGATTTTCTTAATGGAGATGGTAATTACCAGGCATTTATGTGGTGAGTGTTACTTCTCAGCTCAAACCTGGATACTATCCAGATCTCATTGCATTTGAACATAGATTGCTTCAATATCTTGTGAATGTTGCTGAACATTATGCAATCCTAAGCGAGAATCCCCACTTCTGACTTTATGATGAAAGTCATTTGATGAAGCAGCTGAAGATGGGTGGCCTGAGTACTCTATCCTGAGGAACTCCTGCAGAGATGTCCTGGAGCTAAGATGACTGACTTCCAACAACCACAACCTTCTTCCTATGTGCCAGGTATGACTCCAACTAGTAGAGAATTTGCCCCACTACAAGGGCTCCTTGATGCCACACTTGGTCAAATATGGCCTTGATGTCAACGGCTGTCATTGTCTCACCTCACCTCTGGAAATTAACGATCTTGTCCATGTTTGAACCAATGCTGTAATGAAGTCAGGAGCTGAGCGGCCCCGGCAGAACCCAAACTTGGCATCTCTGAGCAGGTGCTGCTTGATAGCATGGTTGATGACACCTTCCACCACTTTACTGATGGTTGAGAGTAGACTGGTGTGGTAATTGGCTGGGTTGGATTTGTCCTGTTTGTGGTTGTATGACATACCTGGGCAATTTTCCACATTGTTGGGTAGATGCCAGTGTTTTAACTGTACTGGGAAGCGGCAAGTTCTGCAGCACAAGTCTTCAGTACTATTACCAGAATATTGTCAGAGCCCATAGCCTTTGCAGTATCCAGTGCCTCCAACTGTTGTTTGATATCACATGGAGTGAATCAAATTCAAGGTTAATATATGTGTAAAGTAAACAGAGATTCCCTGTACACCTTTGTTTTTTCATTTATCCTCCTTTTATTAGTATTCATTTGTCACTGTAAATGACCTTTTTCATATAACGTTGTACCCTTTACTACATCTGCCAGCTTGAAAGAAGTTGCTTTCCCGTTTTACTAGTGCTGAAAGCCATTGCTGATGTGTGTATTCACAAAAGTTCATGAAAATATCAAAGCCAATAAAAGGTCATATGAAATAGAGTGAATTCAAAGTCATCTTCAGCAGAAGTGCCTTGCAATTGAACAGGAAAATTTTCACCCATAATATTGTAATCTGCATTAAGAACTATAACTTAAGGGGATTAATAGTTGAAAGAATGACATGTCAGGATTTCATATTTTAAAACTTACAGAACAAGTGAAACAAAAACTTTACAGAGTACATTTCTTTTTGTGGGCAACTTTTGTACTCGTAAACAACAGAAAATTATCACTCATTGAGTTTCATTTAGCAAATAGTCCGTATTGCTCACAGCTCCTTTTATGGGCTCAAGTATCTACATTTTGCCAGGTAATAATTTGGAGTGGACACCCTAGGCTCTTTCCTCTTTTGTTTCTGTTTCTTAAATTCATCACTAACAGTAAAACCTGTTCTAATGACAACAAGGTGCAGGGCTGGATGAACACAGCAGGCCAAGCAGCATCATAGGAGCAGAGAGGCTGACGTTTCAGGCCTAGACCCTTCATCAGAAAAGGGGGAGGGGAAGGGGGTTTTGAAATAAATAGGGAGAGAGTGGGAGGAGGATAGAAGAGGGATAGAGGAGAGGATAGGTGGAGAGGAAACAAACAGGTCGAAGAGGCGGGGATGGAGCCAGGAAAGGTGAGTGTAGGTAGGGAGTTAGGAAGGGGATAGGTCAGTCCAGGGAGGACGGACAGGTCAAGGGGGCGGGATGAGGTTGGTCGGTAGGAGATGGAGGTGCGGCTTGAGGTGGGAGGAGGGGATAGGTGGGAGGAAGAACAGGTTAGGGAGGCAGGGATGAGCTGGACTGGTTTACTTCCACTCCTCGGTGGTCGAGAACGCCCTCAACCGTGACTCCCACATCTCCCGCACCTCATCCCTCACACCCCGTCCACGCAATAAGAACCAAAAAAGAATCCCCCTCGTCCTCACGTACCACCCCACCAACCTCCGGATCCAACGCATCATCCTCCGACACTTCCGCCATCTGCAATCCGACCCCACCACCAAAGACATCTTTCCCTCCCCACCCTTATCTGCTTTCCGGAGGGACAACTCTCTCCGTGACTCCCTTGTCCGCTCCACACTCCCCTCCAGCTCCACCACACCCGGCACTTTTCCCTGCAACCGCAGGAAGTGCTACACCTGCCCCCATACCTCCTCCCTCATCCCCATCCCAGGCCCCAAGAAGACTTTCCACATCAAGCAGATGTTTACCTGCACATCTGCCAATGTGGTATACTGCATCCGCTGTACCCGGTGTGGCTTCCTCTACATCGGGGAAACCAAGCGGAGACTCGGGGACCGCTTTGCAGAACACCTACGTTCGGTTCGCAACAAACAACTGCACCTCCCAGTCGCGAACCATTTCAACTCCCCCT